AAAAAAAAAAAAAAAAAAAAAAAGAAAAAAAAAAGAAAAAAAAAAGAAAGAAACAAAAAAAAAGAAACAACGACGCGACATCAAAAATATTTAACGCAACGTTAGACTGCGATCAATCATGACACTTGATTTATTATAGGAAATACTATACGAAACTTTTATATCGGAAAAACAAAAACGTATCTTTGTACGAGAAAGAGAAAAAGAAAAAAAGTAGCAGGAAACTAGGATATAAAATTAAAGCCTAGTTTCATAAAAGAAATAAGATATGAACGCGCGAACAGCCGTATTAAAAGAGAAGTTAGTAAATATCGGAGACACTTTCTCGGGCTCGATTTTGCGAGATCTCGAAGCAATGAAAAAAGTTCCTACCTGCGTATTGATTAACGCGTATCGTATTTTATAGTTCTTATATTGATATTAGAGCCAAGCATTATCTCTAGCAAGATAATTGTTTTCGGTGATTCTGAGGAAAAAGTCGTAATTTTACGAACTTTTTTCGTTGTGTTCCACCGTTCAATCCCAATAAAATGTCTCCTATATCTATTAACAGCCTGTATATCCGTGCTTTCTAATAGCTGGTAATTACGAGGCATTTCGATATCGTAACGTGGAACAATAATCGATCGATCAAATCAAAAAAACGCGATGAATGATAAAGCAAATTTTGCGCTTGATCAAAACATACCTATTGGAATTTTATCGATATTTAAATTAACTTGCAATTAAGTATCTTGCGAATCGAGCATGCATATGTAACTAAAAGATGAATTCGCGTAGTTTAAAACGAAATTCAGATTGATAAAAATTTTTACGCGAACCAGCTCAATTATTTTGTTTTACGAACGATATTTGATTCGTTTGTTCCGCGATACTTTAACGAGATTTTGTTCCCCTCCAAAGAAAATACTAGGAAGCTGAACCAATCCAACCTTTAAATCTCAGAACGATGCATACACAATCTACGGCGGATTAAGTAGGTTTCTGCGCGAACGAATGGTAAGTTAGTTAGTATGTTTCCAATATAACCGACGATCGATAACAAGCTCGATTGAGAAAATTTTGATCGTCGGCAACGATTTCGAACGAATCGTTGATATATCAAATATTCATACTTTTATGTAAAATTAAGGCCTAGGTGTTCACAAAAATGTGTATCGTTAACGTTGCAATTTTCTTTTATCTAATACGCGATACTAAATTATTTTATTCTTTATTATTTTATAGTTTCAACGCATATTCGATATCGAGTTGTATCTTTTATCCTCGAAACGACGATTCCAACTACTGCCACGATTTCATAATATAATTTCTTGAAACGATAAAACCCCGTTAGGTGCTAAACGTAATATCATTAATTGTAATTTCTTATATTCGTCGCAAACTTTGTTTATTCTGTTTTTTTTTTTTTTTTTTTCATTTTCATTTTTATTTCGTTTAATTTAGGAATGATCGCGTAGAAGGAATTACGAAGGATCTCATATGTCGTGATCAGTAAGGAATCGAGCGATTACGTCTCGGTATCTCGTCAGAGTGTTCCAACGAGTAATGCGCGTTACCGATCCGAGCTCACCCCGACGAGATATCCAATGTGGAAGATTGTACCGTGTATTCGTATTTATTGTGCCAAAGATATATATATTAATTTTTTCTCTCTATTTCTCATCAAGGACGAATCTTTGCAGGTAAGCAACGATGTTTATGAAATAACGTCGAAGAAAAGAAGACGACTACTACGATATATCGAAGATCGTTCGACAAGATTTTGGAGTAATGGAATAAGACGATAAAGACGATCATCGTGCCGCTTTGTCTGTCTATCGAACGTCCTAATCTCCTGCGTCGCGTTCCAAGTGGAATTAGACGCGATTCGTCCTTTGATGCACGGCTGCATTATCGTACTCAACTTTTCACATGTCTCTTTTTTTCGATTTTTCCTCTCTCTCATTCGTTCTCTCTCCGTTCCCCTTTCTCTTCCCTTCTCAACCCCAATTTCACATTTACGTTTAACTGGACCAGCACTTCTCGTTTATAGATATATGCGAATTCGTCAAGCGACGCATCGCTGCGGAATTGTATCGTTCGCTCAAATTACGTACGCGTTTCTCTCGAAACGAACGCGCTGCTAAATTGGCCAGCCGTTTGAAACGTCTCGATCGACCGGCTATCGTTATCAACAGTATTATCCAATTAACCCACCGATACAGGCCTTTTTAAACGTGTTCCGAAAAAAGAATCTTCTATCGTTCACCGTTGTGATTACCGTGTTCCATCCAGTCGATCGATTCGTATTCGAACTCGCGCTCGCCCTCTCGATTGATACCTA